AGAAAGTTAACGACATTACCGAAGTTCACCACCCTCGTTGGATTTGGCAACGCATATGTTGAAGAGTCGTTGGAACTCTGCTCGCTTTGGAAAAGCCTCCACTGGGTCGTTGACTTGGATTTGAAGGTGCTCCCAACAGCCTCTTAAGTTCGAGGCGCGACCATGGTGAGCCACGTACGCATGTATTGCGGCCTCGTAACCCCCCCCACTTTTCTTGCCACGGGCGCGTTGGTCGATCCGCTTTTGCTTACCTACAGACAATGACAACGTTGAATCTCTGTCGAAATGCCCATTACTCACCCAGAATTTGGGATACAAGTGATGATACCTCGGCGACACTGGGAAAAGCGAACTCACCCTCGTGTCGATCTTTTAGAGTCGCAAGAATCTGTGTTGGGTTCATCTGCTTTGCTTTGTTCTCGTTGCCCTCCAACACCATTATCGAAATCTCGTCCTTGTACTTTCGAATGTACCGTGCACCATATGTATGCCCCCTTGCCGGCCGCCTCGCCCACCCGGCTTCGTACTTCCACGGCGGCAATGCCGACTCAAAATCAACTGCGAACTCTGCCGATTTTGAGTCCACAACTCGGATTGCTTGCAGGGATGTAAGAGAAGCAAGTCGCTTGACTACAAACACAATCAGATGCAAGAGAAGACAGAAAATTACCCAAGTACGAGACGAGATCCCGCTTCTCGCTGAATCCCTTGCAATTATGGGTGAATAGTGCTGATGGAGACTTGAATTGCTTGAGGCAGACGTCACAGTGAGTTTGGGAGCTATCATCAGCCGGGGGCCCGCCATCATACTTGTGCCAAGGTCGTGAGACTGTGCGCATCTGGGACGATGATTCGATTACCCTGGCCTGGGTGAATCGGCCGACGATCTCGGTTACTTCCGTTTGAAAAGTCGAGTCGGGTACTTGGTCGACGACTTCAATCGTGTCAACGACGTGGAACTCTCCCTCGTCGTGTTGGTCGAACGTCTCGTCGTCAGACAACTCGAGTAGCATGTCGACATCAACGGCATCCCC